AATCAAACCAGAACATCAGCGATTTCATCGAAGGCAAATACAACAGGAACTCACCGCTCCGTCAAACTCGTCGGCCTGTTCAGAAGTACCAGCGGAGAGTTGACTCAATGCTCCATAAGGAGTGGGATACAGCATTTTACCCTAAGTAGTCGAGTAATTCATGAATCAACCCTATTCGCCACGAAGAGTAACAAGGAGCACGTACGATCGCCCAGTCCTTAAAACCGGATATATGCCTCTGAAGCGGACTGGATGTTGCCTGGGAGAGGCGAGTCAGTCGAGAGTACATCACCCAAGAAAGAAGCCGTGTGCTTACCTGGATTTACAGCGGAGGAGACAATCCCCTTGTCCCCGTAACGACGGGAAAATTCTTTGGTGAACACGATATTCAACTAAACCTATGCCATTAGCACCATCACCGCCAGTAGTACTCGACCTACCCATTTGCTTTGGAGATAAAGTCCAGAAGGGCCGAGCGCTCTCCTTTTCTTGTCGTTGTCTTTGAATATAGTGTAATCGACCTTTGAAGCTATTTCTGAGCCAAAAGACGAGGTATTGACGATTCGAGCTTTTTGGTTCCCATCGCTGGAACTTGGAACAGCAAGTAAAGCTGGAAGTAGCAGAGTTGTGAGATAGTATGGTCCTACATTTGTCCGGGTGAGTTTTGGTCGCTACAACCACCACGTAGTAGGGCTTACCAAGGACGTTGGTACCAATCGTCATGTCATATCCTTCAGCAGTCAGTAAATCGACGGGCGGCTCCATGACTCCTCTGTGGATGCCGGCTGAGACGATGCAAACGCCATACAAGTACAAACTCACGCGTTGTTGAACAAGATATGAAGCTTCGTCTCTAACCTGTCGCGGATTCGAGGAATCAGCACAAGACGAGGGTGAGTACAGAGACAGGTCTTACCTGAGAAATTCACTCGCAGCCTCTCGGATGGATACCAAACTCGCCAAATCCAATTTCAGGAAATGTCCTTCCTTCCCTGTCTCCTGGCGTAGCCGTGCAAGCGCACTCTCGCCTTTCTCTCGACTACGGCAAGCAATGTAGACCTTCGCGTTCTTCGAGAGCACAGCCTGATCGACCAATGTAAATGCAAGGAAATTGGGATTGAGATTGGGATGTTTGCCTACTCACCTTCGCCGTCTCATAGCCTATCCCAGCATTCCCACCCGTCACCAAAACCACTCGACCACTCAGATCAGGAATCTGGTCGACCGAAAACGTTGGCTCGGATGGCCACGATTGGGATACAAATGTCTTGATGGTACGCATATGTAGAAGGAGTTCTGGTTCCTAACTAGAACGCGTTCAGCGACCAGCCTTTAAGTGGCGACCATACGGATGGGATCCGTCGTTTCTGAAGTAAGTATTCGCATAATATCCTCACCTTTCAGTTCATTTTCATGTCCTCTGAAATCTGGTCATCGGCGCGTGTGGTCGGAAAGGCTCCGTCGTCTCCAAACCGTGCTTTTCATATCTATATTCTAGCCCTAAGCCGACGGGACACCTCGGTGACTGCGGTCAATAGTGCAAATATAGGGTCGATTCTGTCACTCTGAGTTGAATGCTAGGAGTATCCAATTCTGCGAGAACGTGCGATTATGCGCCGAGCACGACATCCCTCGCTTTGCTATCCTCCGGAGGGCTCGTCGATTTCGAAACGCGCCTGAGCGCGGTGGAGGAAGAACGACCCGTCGACTTTTCACACGGTGGCAAACCTATATCATGGGATATGTCACGTGGCTAACGCGTCGCATCTCGGGCTTGTGCAGTCGCAAGACCAACGGAACCCTGACGAGGACAGTCAACAAGCCTGAGACGGTACGTGTCATGAAGATAAGATAGTACAAAGTTTACTGGGTTGATAAATACAAATGTGCGCCATGTAATGGCAATTACGGGTCTACTATAACTAGAGTATTAGAAGTCTAAAGTAATGTAAGGTCGGAAAGAGCAGAAGAGATACTAGATTGTGGTCAAACTTTTCTGACCAAAAAGACAGCGATGCGAGTGATGAGATAAATACAGTTGTTGGGGAGGAGAATGAAGAAGAGGGGGGGGGACGCGTGGTGAGAAATATGGAATATACACTGTGAGGGTAGATTATGATGTGTGGAGGGAAGGGGAGGGGAGGAGGAGTTGGCGTGAAGAAGAAAAGGCGAGTTAAGAGGAACAAATCAAACAGCGAGGAGCGTGAACAACATACAACATCGAAAACGAGAGAGAGAGAGAGAGAGAGAGAGAAAAGGGAACAATTCGACAGTTACAAGGTCATCAGGGTCATGCATCAATCTCATCATCACTAGTCGGCGCCGTGTTCAACTCCCTCACCTTCTCAGAAGGTGTCGAAGTCGTATACGGCGTCGAAGAAGGCATCGTCACCGCCATAGCCGCAGGCTCCGGCTCACCAGGAGGCGAATACAACGGCAACGGCGTAGGATCCAGCTTCCTATCACCATTCATATCAAACAACTCCGAATACGGTGGCAACACAGGTTCCGAGGCAGTCGTCTTATCCCCCGTATCCTCTTCAAGAGAGATACTCTCCCCCGTGACCGTCGACGTGAACACCGACAAGCTATTGGCGATGCTCGGTGTGGGCAACCTCGGAGCGACGTTCTCGAACCGCAATGGCGTGTTGAACATGAACGCCTCCCAAGCAGTTTCCTGATGATCCGCACTGTCGTATCCAAGTGTGATCTTCACCGACACTTGGTGGCGGACAGTCAACAGAGGACCAGAGCTGCTCGGCCTACGCAGTGCGTCGCCCGCCCATTCGATCGAAGCGACGTCAGATTTACTGTTGTGTTTCGCATCGGGAGGTGAGAGGGGGACGGCACATTGGAGAGTGAACCAGGTCGAGGCTTCCATATCGTTATCGGCGAAAATGTAGTTGCGGCCGTCAGCTTGGTATTGGCCGTTGGAGGCGGAGGAGAGTAAGGAAAAAGAACGCGAGTCTTCGGATTCTCCGAGGAGTGGGACATACAGGCCATCGCATAGGTAGGCCATCTTTGCCGACTTGCGCAGCGGAAGGTTGGGAGGCTGTTCGGAATCGGGGGGTAGGGGGAAACGTGCGGCGAACTCTGACGAGGGTCTTTTTCTGATAACGCAAAGTAATCGGTCGATCAATTTCCGAACTAACGGGTGGATAGAGATCAAACTCACCTGCACTTCTCCTTCTGCACAACGTTGATCGTGAAACCCATGAACTGCATCCTGTTTCTATCCTCCTCGCTCATCCCCTTGGTCCGCATTCGCAACGTAAAAGGCAACGAATCGCTCTTCATATCCACATACTCTGGAACCGAAACCAAGATCTGAACCTTGCTCCAGACGTCCACCGGTATGAACGGTATCGACGCCGAGCCATCTGTGGGAGCTTGGACTTGAGGGTTGATGTAAAACGTAGAACTAGGAGCGACCGGGTCTTTTGTAGATGTAGAAGGTGTCGAAATGAACCGACGAAGGTTGATCTTTTTGTCGGTATGAACTGTGCGCTCGGGTGACCAGATAGACGAGTACAATGAAGAGATGCTGTTCGACCAAGGATCGCGGGAATTGACCATGTCGACGGCGAGGAATTTTGCGGTGGCGTATAATGAGTATGATACGCCGAGCTTTTCGTCTGGGCCGTAAGAGCTCGACCTGGGTAGCCAACCAGGGATGGTGAGGTTGAAGACTATGCTCCATTGACCTGACGCCATCGATAGGTAAGCGCGATGTTACATGACACGACTGAATTCGACTCACAGGGCCCCTTGGTGTTCTTATGACCATCGTTACTCAATAACAGCGACTCCTGAGGTGCCAGATCTTTTGTGATATGACATAGACGAGTGGAGGAGTAGCCAACGAGAGGGGTGTAGACCTCGGTCTGACCCTCGAATGTGAGGTCTAGGGATTGCAGAAGAAGCTTCGTTTTCCGATTCCGACTGAAGTGGAAGTACGATGGTGATACAGATATTAAGACATGGCCTGAGAGAGAGTACGCCGAGCTATGGGTTCAACGCGAAACTGTGGTCAGAGATAATTTGGGGAACTTTGAGGACGAACAACTCACTGAGGGTCTGGCTTCCCGTACATGTCGAGATTACTAGAGGTAGGAACGATTTCCAATGAGACTGCCATTTCCGATGGTGGAGGGGCGGAGAGAGGCAAGAAAAGTTGGGTGGTTTAAACAGGATGCTGTTGATTATTAGATGAAAGCTATTGAGGTCGTTAAGGGAATTAAGCCGAGGAAGAGTGATTAATTGACGTAAACCGAGCCGTCTAGGTGGTGGTAGGAGACAAAGAAAGGAAATAAATGGAACAAAGGCATTCTGAGGCACGATGCTATTTGAAGGCGGAGAGGGAAGGATGTTACAGAATGGATTCCATAATGGGACAGACGTCACCGCGGTGATTTGGAATGGTCGCGGAGGCAACAATGTCGAAATGTCGAAATGGTCATGTTTGGTTTCGCCTCGGCTGAAACGCTCGAGCTTTGGCAACCTTTGGCCACCACCCAGGCCCACGCAGGGACACACATTCACTAGCATTCACTATAGATTCCCTTGTTTCCATTCAAGCCTTTTGCTTCTTACTTGCTTCTGTCAGTGGCTTGTATTTTTTGATTGATTTATTGATTCCAAGATCCAAGCCCGCTTTGCGCAGCACGGTTAGAGGAGAGGCAACCGGAAACCGGTCGAAACATTTTGTCACGAGTATTTCAACTCTTACACCAGCTCAAGCTGTTTGGCTTCAAGTTGCCCCCTCTCCAAGTGTATCCAACGATGTTCGGATCGTTGATGCGACGATCCTGGCCCGACAGACGGATAGACAATCAGGGTCTGTTGCATGTTGCGTCGCTTCGCACCAAAACGTTCATGAGTGTCTGTGGATGCTTGTGGGATACATCCGGAGATGTTTCTCGCTATCCAATTCAGGCTACGAGCGATGGCACAAGACCTCCCCCTCCTCAGATCTGCCATCTATTCCCCCCACCATCACAGGCCGTGTAGCGTAATGGTTAACGCGCTAGTTTCCGGTGAGCATCTCCCAGACCAGACAGCTAGAGATTGTGGGTTCGAGTCCCACCATGGTCGCTTTTTGTGGTAAGCGGGGGCCAGACAAGGATTCGGACCAGGCCGACATAAGCTTCGATTGATTAGCTAAGCCAGGGAGATGGTTTCCCTCAGCAAACTGAAATCTACGTTGCCGACCTCACCAGCTTCACCACTCACAAGTCTGAGTCTTACCTCCTTCTACACCAATAATGGGTCTACGGGCTATACGCCAGACCGCCAGTGGCCTCGAAGCTGGCCTCGGTGAGACGGCGCAACCTATCCCCCCCCTCCAATTCCTCAACCATATTGTGATCTCTTCGTTCCGAACTTTAACAGAACACAATTCATCGTATCACCGCCTACATTATACATCCCCCGGGCATACTCAGGTGAGTAAGCACCCATAGCCAAATGGTACAGCGGCCACCTACACACAACCCGCGGTACACGATCAACATCAAGCAAACACCTTCGAGACAGCCAATTCATCTTCCCCGCGTGCTTTAGCTTGTCTCTCCCTGCGCCGAGCTGTCTCGTCCTCGGCGTCCTTCCTAACACCGTATTTTACACCCTTCTCCCTTCGTAACGCTGATCGGACTGCCGCGGGGGATACGAATTCTGTTCCATGGGTTAATATTGGTGTGTGGTGGGATCGAGTACGTGAGGCGAGGTGAGGTGAGAAGTGAGATGGACAGGTCAGACGGATGACATGAATGGGTGGCGGAGAGAAGGTGCAAGGGGGAAAAGCTGATGAGCGAACTGAAGAGTAAGGGCACAGGCTCAGTCCGACACGTACCGGGGTTAGAGTACACAGTCGCTCCACCGAACGCGCCCTCGAAGATTCGGATGGGAGTCAGCACAAACCGAGGCCCGATCTCGACGAGAGTAGTAGTCGGAGGTCCATTTGGCTGGGAGGGGTCTTTTTCGAGGATCTAGGTCGCATCGGAGAGTTAAAAGAGGACGGTAAGCGAAGAAGGAGCTTGACGAACCTGGAAGTTCCGGAACCATATTTTGTTATCGACGATTGAAAATGTCAGGATATGGTCTATAAACGGTTTTGCTTTCCGTGCGGTAGCAGGTACGCCGAATATCTAGGCAATGAACGAGGGTAAGCACCGGCAAAGAGAAGAAAAAAACGCTAAAAACCCCAAACCAAACTACTCACATGTGTGAAAACCTCCTTCGTCAACTTTCCCCACTCCGTCTCCTCAAAACTCGCATCAAAGCTCAACAACCCTCTACTCCCTTTCAAACAATTCCCAGTCAACTTGAGCTCATCCATCGTATGCACGTTTTGGACATGCATCTTGATCGAGGGGCCGTTCGGCATTTTGGCAGCCCAGAGGTATAGATCCTCGTGACGACGAGCTTCGAAGTAGAGTGTGTTGTTGCAGTTGTTGAGGTCTGCGAGTTCGGGGAGGAGGTGAAGTTGGGATTTTGAATCGAGTTTGGAATCTATTTGCCAGAATAGAATAGAAGAGTTAAGCATGTATGCCTCACTGATCATGGAGGGGGGGGGGGTTTTCGAACCTTTCTTGACATGAGGCAATAAAGACTCGATGTCGCTCATCAGATGTCGCATTCGATGGGTTATGCCCCGAGAGGAAAGTAAGAGGACGCGTTGCTTATTCTTCATTTTCTTGGTGACACCGGTTTGTGGTTGCTCCTCGTCTGCTATCGGTTAGAGATACGACGATGGTTCTGAATGTGAATTGTGCGCACCATCCACGTCCATTTCGTCTGCCTTTCTTTTTCCTTTTGCGACTTTTGAAGCGTTAGCTTTTTGGGCTTTGAGGACGGATGCCATGATAGAGACAATGCTAAGAGAGTCAATGAACTTGATGAGTCGCCTTCACGAGCCGAACTCGTCGAGATGGAAGATGGTGGAGGTGAGTAAACGCAAACGCCTTCGAATGAAAAGAAATTTTGTCTAAGCGCCGGACCCGTCGTGAATTTGCCAGTGGCTTAGTCAGCTACGCTGTGAACCTTTCCCCAACATGTCACTCGCTGATGCTGCAGACGCCAGAAAAGCGCGATTACTGGCTCTCAAGAAACGAAAGGAAGGGCGGACGTACGTGAACAAACATCTTTTCCGTATCATCGTGGTATTAACGGAGCCTTGCATTAGAGATGACGACGACGAACCTATCATGAAAAGTCGCAACTTCGACCCCGAGGCGAGGACACTAAAGAAACACACGCAGTCGGTTGATGTTGAAATGGAGGACACTATCGAGAAGAACGTGGAAGGGATAGCTGAGCAGATAATAGCGGAGGATGAGGAGAAGAGGCAGGAGGAATTGGTACGTCTAGGTTTTTTCCCCCCTCGTTTCCCTCGTACTTACGGAGAGCTTTTGGATTTAGGATATCTTTAATATCGCACCTAAACGACCGAATTGGGATCTTAAACGCGAAACGGATAAGAAGCTGGAGAAGTTGGAGCGGAGGACGCAAGAAGCAATACATACGCTCATCCGTTCGTAATCCTTTTTGGTTTGACTGTGTCAAGTTCGTCCCCCCGTACTAACGCGTGGTTTTGATTAAGGTCAAAGGCTGGCTACTCAGAAAGGAGAGTCTGACGATATTATTGGTGCTATGAAGGCTCAAGAAAAGGCTCATGTTGACGAGGACGCCAACTCGGATGAAGACTAGTCTTACTCGATGGTTGGTAAGTTGTATTTCACAACAAAAGGAATTGCAGTCTCTCATGCTATGGGTAGATCATACTTATAAAGCTCCCGCAGTGTTTGGAGCACTCCGCGAGTTGGGACAGATGTCGTCTGGTGGAGGGAGAAGCCCCAGTACAATAATGATGCTGGCGGCTCAAATCACCCCGCCTCTTCTGACCCGGAGAATCTCAGGTTGTTGGATTTACGCTTGTTGGTGTCGAAGGAGCGACAGTATATCATCCCAGTCGAAGTGCCGACCTCCATGCATCATCATAGCATTGAAATTATTGATTGATAATGATACAGATGCTTATTCTCGTCTTTCCTTCAATCCTTGAATGCCTGCTGCATGTACACTCTCTTGTGAATCTTGGAACCCTCCTCTTCTATCTCGCGTATCTCGTCAGAGGTCAGGTCAGGGAGTGCACGCATCTCTAGTGTTTCCTTTATCCTAGATTCCTTCGAAGAAGTCCTGCAAACGGAACATGTCAGGATGATTGTGCTGCCGATGGGAGATTCCGCACTCACGTTACTACGACAATCCCCTTCTGAATCTGCCACTTCGTGAGAACATGGCTCGCAGAAACTGTTTTGCCCGCCTCTTTTGATAGTCTCTGGGCAATCTTCTCGAGTACAGGATCTAGTGGGCCACCGGGAGACTTGGTGATGGGAACTAGGCCACCGTATGACTCGATAGTGATGCCCTTCTCCGTCGCATATTCATATATGAGTTTGGCTTTAGTCCAGACGTAGGGATGAAACTCGATCTAAAGTCGCGGTGCCCAGAGGTGAGCTCACATTCTGCATCGTCCTTCAACATCGAGGAGACTGACCTGATTAGCGGATGGAACGATGGTCGCGACTTGGACGACTTCCTTGAGGGCATCGACGTCGAAGTTCGATACACCTATACTCCTGGCCAACCCTTCCTTCTTGACCTCCTCCATCCCCTTCCACAGGTCTTGAAGGTTTCCCTGTGCTCGAGCAACGTGGGGCGAGTGAATGAGGTAGAGATCAACATAGTCCAATCCGAGTTTCTTGAGGGACTCAACCAGCTTCGATTTGGGCGTATCTCCCTTGTCGAGGTTGGGGTGGAGTTTCGTCGTAACGAACAGCTCAGAGCGAGGTACTCCGGCTTCCTTGATACCTGCGCCTAAGGAATCCTCGTTATCGTAGATCTGAGCACCGTCCAGGTGCCTGACACCGGCCCGAATGGCAGTCACGACGCTATCTTTAGCATCCTGCTTGTAGAGGGCAGTACCGGTACCAAAACCGACCCAGGGAATTTGGACGTTATCGTTGAGAGTGATTGTTGGCTGTTGCGACATTGTGGATAGGATGGAAGGTATCACGATGTCCCCCCCCCCTGGACTTTTATACCTCCTCTGGTAACAATTGTCCGAATATGATAAATCATGATCATGACGCCACCCACCGCTGACTGATGCATGGATCCACCTGTTTCTTCCGTCGAACCGGTTGTCGTGAGACTTAGGAATTGAGTCAGTGGGAGAAAGCCAAACTGAGGCTGAGGTTCTGATCTTTGTTAATGTTGACGCAAGTGCACCATGACAAGAGCAGGAGGTAGAGAAAAACGAACACTCGGGACCTTCAGGTTTCCTTAGAAAGTTCAAATCGCGCTGAACAAGAAAGCAGAGATGTACTGGTCATACAAACGTCTGGTCATCTGTTAGCGGTGAATTCAAGATGGAAAAGGTTCAAAAGGCCGGGGAAATCAGGAGAGTATGGGCCCCGACTCGCACGACGCTGTGATTGTGGAGGTACAGAAGAACGAGCTTTGAGAGGCGTGGGAATATATTTGTCAGACTGCACAGATCCAAGCCACACAACATTAGCTGCCTGCCATCACCTTCCCAATTTATCGACATTCCTCAAGACTCCCCAATGGCGCCCTCCACGACGTACGTATGCCAAATTTCTTTGCGAAGAACACAACCTAACGAGCTCCTTGCTATCGTACTGCAGAGTCCCGAGCGCTTCCGTGAGTTTGGAAGGTTTTTTCTGAAAGTTCAAGCGTTTTGAAACTTGGGTTCATAGGCGATAGAAGTCCCGGAGACCCTCCTCAAGAAGCGCAAGCAAAACGAAAAGGCCCGCGAGGAGCGCCTCGCCGCTGCCACTGCTGCACGCAAGGTGTGTGTGCCAGTGCGATTGCCGATCCAATGGCATCTGACATGATCTGGTTTGTAGTCCCGCCTTGCGAAGCGAAAGGTCATCTTCAAGCGTGCCGAGTCCTACGTGAAGGAGTACTTGTCGAAGGAGAAGGAGGAGATCCGCTTGAAGCGTGCTGCACGGGCTTCTGGTGACTTCTATGTTCCCGCAGAGCCCAAGGTGTACTTCGTTGTACGTATC